ATGATTATATGCATGTCGTCGTCGTCATTATTTACGGAGTTGTTACCTATACCGTTTTCATCTTGTAATATATGCCCATGAATAATATATGTGAAAAAATATATTATTTACAACGGTCTGTGTATGTATATCTCTATCATTATCATTGTTGACAACATGTGAATGGATTTAATTAAGAATGTAAGGAATATGTATAAAAAATGAAGAATAAACGTAGGATGATTGGATATTCTCGCGAACATGACAGCTCAATGTTTAGGATTTAGCGTGTACGGCCCAAGGGCCAATACTTACGGGTTAGGCTTACGGGTTCTTGCTACAGTGTTGTTGAGGGCCCCGGGTTTAGGATTCTAGGTTTCATTAGGGCTTAAGGTTCAGGATCGTAGGTTGCAGTACGCTTTTATGGTGCAGGATCGTAAGTTGCAGTGCGGTTTTATGGTTTAGGATCCTAGTGTTCGCGGGTTTATGCTTTTGGGATATAGGATTCCGTGTGGTTTAAAGTTCAGTAATATGGATTCCAGGATTCTGTGGTTCTGGAATCCGGATTTATGATTCAGGGAGTCAGGGGTTACGGTTTCGCAGTCCTCAAGTTTAGGAGGTTTAGCATTTAGATGTTTCTTTTTCTTTGTTGTTTTCTGCATGAATAATCGCTCGTCAGTGGTATTCCTGCCTAGTCTTCTTGCCCTGTTGGTTGTTTTACCGCTTGAACATTCTACGCACTACTCTGACCTTGATTTTATTTTTCTTTCCTTTGTTCTTGTGCTCTTGCGCATTCTGCGCTTCCTTCTCTGGCATCCCTCCTATTCTGCTGCCGGGCGCCTCTACGGCTTCTCTCCCACGTCGCCCTCACCTCGTCCTTGTACACTGGATTGTCTCTAAGCAACAGGTCGGTCCGAATGTAAGACGGTGGAGATTGTCTGTCCGAGCAACGCGTCGAGTCACGCGGCCGGGTAAACGGATTGTCCGCGTGCAAGAAGGATTCGACGACGGATTGTCCGAGTGTACGAAGGAGGAGAGATTGTCTCTCCGAGCAAACGCGGACGATTTTAACAACGGGTTCTGCGACGTAGCCGCGTGTAAGGAGGAGGAGAGATTGTCTCTCCGAGCAAGCGTGGCCGAGCAAAGCGGCCGGGTAAACGGGATTGTCCGCGCGTAAGAAGGCGGGAGATTGTCTCTCCGAGTAATGCGTCGACCAAAGCGGCCGATTGTAACAACGATTCGACGAATTAGCCGAGTGTAAGACGGATTCGACGAAGTCGCCGAGTGTAGGAAAGGAGGGAGCGATTGTCTCTCCGAGCAAACGCGTCGACCAAAGCGGCCGGGTAAACGCCCTTATCCGAGTGACGCGGCCACGTGCAACACCGATTCGACGACGTAGCCGAGTGTAAGAAGGAGGAGACATTGTCTCTCCGAGAAAACGCATCGACCCACGCGGCAGCGTGCACGACGGCGGACCATTGTCTCGGAGCACCGTGGTTCGACTAAGTAGCCGCGTGTAAGAAACATTCGACGAAGTAGCCGCGGGAGGGACGGCGACCACGACGGCGGCAGCGACGGCAGCCGCATTGATGTTGTTGTTATTACTGCGGTTTGGTTGTGTACGCACGCAGAGACAGCGCGTGACAGGCGTGTAGTGGAGACCGGTATAGAAAGGGGGGCGGGGGGTGTATATTCATGACGTTGTCCAGTATTGTCCTGGTGTTTCCTTTGTTTTTTTTTTTTTTTTTTCTCGGCTGTTCTTCCTTGTTTTTTCTTCTTCACGGGGGGCCCTTGTGCCTGTGTGGATGAGCGACAGTCTTCTCTATTTTGTGTAGAATATGTTGTTAAGAATTTGTACAGGTATGATGTGTGTCGTGCAATTGTTTCTTTTTTTTTTTTTTATGTCATTTATTTCTATCTTATTTTTGTTGTTCTTTTTACTCGTATTTATTATGGTTCGTTGTGCAACTACGCGTTCTGTATATAAGGAAACGGAGTATACATGTGTATATGTCTATATAGGTTATATGAATTGATGTATATATACCCCCTGTTCAAGTGTAGAATATTGTTGACGTTGCAACCATGTTAATGAGTACTGCATATAGAGGATTATATTGGATACGTAGACAATGTACGTAATGCAGTAGCGCACGATATGCAGAACGCTATACGGATTCTGCCAGGACTGATCTTTTCTATGTTGTTATAATAGGAGAAAAATGGCGACACAGTTAGCGAGTATATTGAAAGAGTATGCCGAGGCTAGGGGACTAACGCAGACTACTGGGGATTTTCACGTAATTTCCTATACATACAGGCCGCGCGCGGCTGTGTGAACACGGCAGTATATATGTGTGTATGAGAGAAACATACTAAAGGGAAGCAGAATGTGGGCACAGTGGGTGCTTCATATGTGCCGGATACGGCAAATTTACATGTAAAAGCGAGGAACGAACAGATATAATTAGATGATTGAAACGGTTTGTGAATAATAGTGTGCGACCACATAGATATATGTGCATTGTGTTAACCGCAGAGTAAGTTATGGGAAGATATGCAAACACAAATGCGGCTTTTTATAAATCAATTGAACGATCCAAATGCAGAGGAACATGCTGCTAACTGCAGTAATGCATACTGGCAGCATCCAAAAGAAGATGGACACACAGACCAACAACCACGGGAGATGACCAGGCGAACAGAAAGAGTTATATGCAGACTCATGACGCAGGGGATATACTTTGCGAACGCGTGGAGTAGTGCAGTAAAGGCTAACATAGAGGGGAACTCCAAGAACGATAAAGAAATTAAGGGCTTAATACGGTGTACAATAGTGGATATATACCAAGACATACTGAGGGAAGACACATGCGAGGGTCACTGGGGTACATACTATGCATGGTACGTCGTGGAACAAATATCGGGAGGGCTGACGGCCAATGGGGGCGAAAATGATTGTACGAGGGGGAAGTACAAGACTATACAATTGAACACTTGGCCCATGAGGAATAAGATGAAGACATGGTTAAAACAGAACAAACAGATGAAGGAGAAACTTGCACAGGAAGAAATAAGCGGTGGGTGTACGGGAAGGCAGGTAAAGACTAGGAAACAACTGCAAGAGGAAGGAGTTATAAAGGAAAACGAGGCTGAAAAAAAGGAAGACGAAAAACTGAAGAGTCAAATGAAGACGCATTTTAGGAAGATTTTGGACACACTGCAGATACAAATGAAGGAGGAGGAGGGGAAATTGAGGGCGTCCCGTGCGCAAGCACGCCCGGATCCTTCTGTGGTCGACGACGAGGAAAAAGAGGGTGACGACATAGAGGAACACATAAAAAACGCAGTAGCCAACGCGAGAGAAAAATTAGGACAGGTAATCGTTATTCCCGCCTCCGCCACACCCGCCACCGGAACAACCCAGCAAACGCCAGGTAAGACCGATGGGAGCCCGCACCAACACGGTCGCATAGCATGCCAAAGGCTGGTACTCCCCAATACGTACCGTACGAATATGGATGGATGCCCCGGCTGGCACGACCGATACGGCCGCATATGGATGCGCAGGCCGCCACCAACAACACACACGCGGCGGCACAGCACCACACTTCGTTGTCGTTCCGCGGCGGCGTCCACCGTAGAATTGCCTAGTGCGCGGGATCGCCGTCGCGAACGGCGACGACAAATAAAAGTTGTACTGCTACCACCTCGGTCCACCGAGTACGCAGTCCACCGAGCCGACCCGACCGTACGCTTGCTGTCGCCTGACCCAGTCCACCGAGTCTTACCTCGACCCACTGCATCGACCCACTGCATCGACCCATTGCATCGACCCACTGCATGGAGCCGGACCCTACCCGGCCACTACCTGACCCCACCGTCCCGGCCCCTTCTTTCTGTACCACTTATGTCCTTTTTTTTTTTATCGTCTTTCTGCCGTTCTCCTTTTTGCAGGCGCTGGAGCCGCGGCGGCCGCCCAGCCGGTGGCGACACCACCAGCGACGACGAAGCCGGTGGTAGAAAGAACAGACGATACGACGTCTGCGACGCATCCAGCCCACGCGTCTGAGACGCCTGAGAACAAGTCGACGGCACGTGGGACGCAGACAGGGCAAGAACTGTTGTCCACCAAGGACCCACAGACGGCAGGAGGAGCAGGGTCATCGGTAGGCAGGAAAGAGGATGACGAACCACCAGCTGGACCACCACCACCTCCACCAAGACCACCACCACCTCCCTCAGGGAAATCAGGCGATGACGCAGCAGGCACCACGCGAGAACAAGGTGACCCGGGTGTTGCAGGACCACCAGGACCAACGGAAAAATCAGGTGAGGATAAATGTAAGCAGAGTCTTGGGAAAACTGCAAACAGTTCCGGTCCTATTGTTATAAGTACCGGATGTACATCCGATGCAGATTTAGGAGGAGGACAAACACTCACAGATGCTATTGCCAACGGTAACGAATTTCGAGAGTACACATACAAAGAACACCTCGAATACAACTAAAAGACAAAAAAAACCCAACACAGCAACAACAATTTCCGGAGAGACAGTGAGAGACACCACGGAGAGAGAGAAACCAAACGTCGAATGAGAATGGCGGGGCAATGAGCGACGGGGGGATCGGCCGCGGCAGGCAGCTGCCGGTAGACACAGACGTACAGAGGTTGACGTCGACAGACGCCGACACACACTGTGTCTGCGTGTGTGTGTTGTGTTGTGTGTGTGTTGTGGCAGAGAGAGAGTCTTTTCCCGGGGTGGCACCCTACCCCCGTCCGTCTCCTGCCCCCGTGCTCCCATCCCCGTCCGTCTCCTGCCTCCACGTCAACGAAGTGTTGCTGTGCTCGACTCAACGAGGGGGTGATGTTGCGCACCGCGCTGTTGGTTGTTCCCGTGTGCGTTGTTGTGGTGGGCGCATGCATATGGTGGCCGTGCGTGTTTGTGGCCATGGCGTTGTTGTGGTGGCATCCATATTCGTACGATTTATATGAGGGCCGCATGAGTATTCGGCCGTATTCGGTCATATTTGTCCGCATTCGTGCTTTCTCCCATCGGTCCTTAGCTGGAGGTTCCTGTGGCGTTGCCGGCGTTTCGGTAACTGCTGTTGTTGCAGGGTGGACGGGTGTGGCGGCGGCTACCCCTTCGGCTGGATTGGAAATGCTGGACGCTAGTCCCGTGGATTCCCCTGGGAGAGACGATGACGCTGGTATGCTTGAATAGTGGTCCTGTTCTTTATCTTCTTCTGAATCTGACAATTCCCCTGTGTCATCTTCCTCAGAGTCACATTCGGGTTCTATTGTGGAACCAGGTCCTTTATCCCCCGAGCCCTTCATTGTTGCCTTAACTTCTTTGCTGATTTGCCTCATAACGCTTTTCATTGCTGCCTTTAATGTGTCCCCTATGTCTTTCTCTACTCCTGCCTTCAGAACATTCAAACTATCTTTTGTTCCGCCTTTCTTTACTTTATCGATGTCTGCAATTGCTCTACTACACTTGGATTTTAGACCTGATCTTGCTATTTTTCCATTCATCCGTGCATTCTGCCGTAGCCACTGCTTAATTTTGTTCCCCATATCCCACTCTGACGCTTTTATGTTTTGAAACACTGCGTGCCCACATTTACCTTTGGTTATTAAACCACTCCCTATCCCGTCTTCCATCTCTTTCATTGTGTACCATGCATAATATAAACCCCAGTCTCCACCACATGATGATTCCTTCAGTATTTCCATATACATATTCACTGTTGCACATCTCACATATTCCGTCAGCTCATCATCATTACTAACCACCATATTCCCACCCCACAGGCGCCACCTGTTGTCATTCATAAAATATAATGCTCCTACCATTAGTCTGCACATAATTCTGTCTGCCGCGCGTGTGACTAGTCTCTCGCGGCCATCAGGATCCGCTGGATGCTTATAATACGCATTCATACAGTTCGAACCCAGGGCCTCCAGGTCCGTAGTTTCCATGTATTGCACAAACTGCTCTAACTCCATTTCTATATCTTCCCACAGTTTTTTCTGCAATTAATAGAACACATATACATATATGCATAGTTTACAACTTGCGCTTCCTCCTTTACACTTAATCCACCTCTGAATACACTCCTATGCACTAGGCGCGCGCGCACTATCATAACAGGGGACTCCGTCCATACTCATTCACATATGGCACGTATCTGCGCTCCATAAACTGCCTCCCCATTATGCATAAGCTAAGTAAGGTGCACTGCGTTTAATATCGTGCCCATCACTCTACGTTACCAGATAAACCTCGTGGCGCATGTCGGCACCCCGCGCCCGCACCCAGGCGGCCAATACGGCGCCTAAGTTCGGTGTTGACATATTAGTATTATTGTATTAGTATGCTCTACTTTGTCCAGTGCCTTGGAAATATTATTATGCTACATATATCACATGTAAACCCATGTAACATGCTCTCCCTTAATATGCTACTATTGTACTACATAATTATTCTTCGTCTACTTCTACACCAATATTTACGTGAACTGCTGGTATCATATGTACTTGTACTGAGTATAGTGCTGCCCTACACTAGTTATAGTTTCGCTAAGGGAGAACTATATCGAGAAAAGACAAAAAAATACAAGCATAGAATAACAAGAAGAGAAAGAAAAAAAAAAAACAAAAACAAGGAAGACAAGAAAAAATAGGAAAAACAGTTCACAACGTCATGAATACACCCGCCTGTCTACACCGGTCTCCACTAAACGCCTTTCACACACTCTGTCTCTCTGTGTGCGTGCACAACCAAAGCGCAGTAACAACAACAACATCAATTTCTTCTGCCGTCGTTGCTGCCTTCCTTCCCGCGGCTACTTCGTCGAATCGTTTACTCGAACGCCGTAATCGAACCGCTTCACTCGGCTGCTGCGTCGAATCCGTCTTACACGTGGCCGCGGTGCTCGACGCGTTTGCGCGGAGAGACAATCCTCCTGCTTCGTACACTCGGCCACGTCGTCGAATCCGTCTTACACTTGGCCGCGTTTGCTCGGAGAGACAATCTCTCCCTCCTTTCTTACACGCGGCTGCGGTTGCTCGAACAGACAATCTCTGCTCCTTCTTACACTCGGCTAATTCGTCGAATCCGTCTTACTCGCACAATGCCGTTTACGCGTCCGCGTTTGCTCGGAGAGACAATGTGTACCTTCTTACACTCGGCTACAATGCGGTTTACGCGGCCGCGGTGGTCGACGCGTGTGCTCGGCGAGACAAGCTCTCCTTATACTCGAATGCGTATGCGCATTCTATATTTGTTCTGCACTATACCCTGCGAAGGCACTTGCTCAGCGTTTAATAATTAATGTCCCATAAAGGAGAATACTACCCCTTCATATTATTCATGTAAAGCTACATTTTATATGCATTTGACCTGTACCATCGTGTCCCCATGGTCATGTTAAAAGAAGTGGACTACACAGACAAAGAACAAAACAAGGCAAAAGTAAGCACAAGTAAGCAGAACAGAGCAGAAAAAAAAAAGAACGTATGCAATAGTGCAAACAAGAAATATATTATGTATAGCACATAATGAAGTAAAAGTGGTGTACGATTAGCATGCGTTAGTTCGCATGCATATGCGCCGTCATCCGAATGTTAACACTGTTGCAATAGAGCATCCACATATAACCCTTCTCGTGCATACCACTCTCGAATTCGCATTCGTGGATTACCGACGCGAGCAGGAGCATGCATAATTTGGCGGGTACGCGTTTTTTCATATGCGGTGGCTGATGCAGTGGTTGCGACAGCGGTAAATCTCTCACTCGTAGCACATCTTCTGCTGCCATGACATTTTCCACTTCTAAGTCTTTGTCCACTCCAGGTACTTCGCCTGTTTGCGATTCTATCTCCTCCTCTACAGTATGCAACAAATGTTGGAACCACTCCTCTTCCTTGTATGTACTCATTTGCCGATGTTGTTGCGCTATCCACTGTCTCCACAATTCCAGTTTCTGCATCTCTACGGATGGGATGTTGGCGTGCTGACCGAGTTCACGCTGCCCGGATACTACGTTGTCCTCGTCTGTCGCATGTTGTTGATAATATTGTTTCCAATCCGATTTGAAAGCATTAAACCACGTTTGCCCCGTGCACTCCCGCAGAATATGTTTGTTGCGGTCAATCCAGTTAATCCATTGAGTGCACGTCGAGATGGCGGCTCTGGGGTCGCAAGGGCGATGCTGTGCCTGTTCTAACGGTGCAGTGTGCATACAACTCCATGGATCGGGGTCATTCGGTGCACAAGGGTCCATTTCTAACGGTATAGTTTCCATACAACGCCATCGGTCATCTTCGTTAGGTGGAGAACGGTCCGTTGCTAACTGTATGGTTTTCATACAACTCCATGGATCGGTGTCGTGTTCATTCGGTGCACAAGGGTTCGTTGCTAACTGTATGTTTTCCATACGACTCCATGGATCGGGGCCCTCTTCGTTAGGTGGAGAAGTGTGCGTTTCTAACGGTATAGTTTCCATACAACTCCATGGATCGGGGTCGTGTTCATTCGGTGCACAAGGGTCCGTTGCTAACTGTATAGTTTCCATACAACGCCATCGGTCATCTTCGTTAGAAGCAGCAGGGTCCGTTGCTAACTGTATAGTTTCCATACAACTCCATGGATCGGGGTCATGTGGTGGACAAGTGTCCGTTTGTTCGGAGTCAGTGGGTGGGTCCAGGGTGGATGCAACATTGTTCCGTGACAAAGCCTGGTTTGTGATAGGAGCATCCAAGGAACTACTATGTCCGTGGTTGCCCCCCATGAACTCTTCAACGAGTATCTTCAAATAGTCGTCTTGCACCGTATCCCATTCCGCCACTTCACATTCGTGGAGCACCTCTAAATGTAGCTCGATGATCGTGCGCTTATGCACGCGAGGTTGACGTCGTCGTCGTGCGGCAGGCAATCTGCCGGGCCGCCTATCCCTAACCAAGGTGTACCCGTAATCGGGTGGCGGTAGGTCGCCGCGTTGTAGATGCTGCAATATTTCTTCGTCGAGTGGAGGTGACGGAACGTCACGAACGGTGCGAAACGTTCGTCGTCCTTTGGCGAGGTACGCAAAGTACTAAGCAGAAAAAGGGGGGTAAAGAGCAGGGTGAGGACGGTAGGATAAAAGGAATGAACACGGGTGTAGGAGTATATTGATTAGAACGATCATATATTGCAGCCCGTCGGGATGTTCTGAGGTATAAACATCCTGCACATGCGACATTCGCGGAATGCTGTATATACTTACCTTCCAGAGGAAGAACGCAATGACGCCAATACCAACCACCGCTGGAATGATCGCGGGGGTGTACGGGATGAGATCCTTGGGGTCGAAGGGTGTGGGGGAAGGGAGAGTGGGTGGAACTTGGTTGTTCCGTGGGCCCTGGCCACCGGAAGGATGGGAAGCACCGGCGCCAGGACCCCCAGTGGAGCCAGTACCAGATGAACTTGGGCCTTGGTGACCAGTGGAGCCAGTACCAGAGGAACCGCCTGCGTCAGGCTGACCGGTGCCACTACTACCCGATTGATTTGGGTTCGGGTTCGGTTTTGGTTTGGGTGGATTGAGCGGAGGCGGGGCATCGTTACTCGCCGTGCCACTGCCGAGTGCCCCCGCGGCACCGTCAGGGCCATTATCAGGTTTATGAGCCCCGGGAGCTGGAGGTTCCGCTGAGGTGCTGTCCTGTGTAGGTGGCTGTCCTGTAATAGGGGGCTCAGTGGTTTCAGGAACTTTCTGCTCAGGGGGAGTTTCCGCCCCGGCGCCCGGATCTGTTGGTTGCGCTGGTGCTGCCGCTGCTGGTGCCTGTTCTGAAACTGGTTCTTTTGAGTCTTTACTTGTCGTCTTCTCCGAAGGATCAGGACCTATAAGTTCAAGTAGGAGGCAGAGAATGGAGAATATGGAAGAAACTGAAGTTTTGCGCGATGGTCCTGGGTGACCCCGCCGACCACGGGGAATGGCGTCGGGGCAGGGTGGCACCCCGGGAAAAGACTCTGTCTCTCGCACCACACACAACACAACACACACAACAGTGTGTGTGCGGCGACATCTGTCGACGTCTAGATAGCGCGGCCGACCCATCGCTCTAAATCCCGCTGCCGCGCGTCATTTTCATTCGACGTTTGGTTTCTCGCTCTCCGTGGTGTCTCGCGCTCTGGCTCTCCGGAAATTGTTGTTTTTTGTTTGTTCCGTCTAATGTTACTTCCGGTGTGTATTTGCACTATGGTGCATAGGAATTGATACCTGGCGCTGGATCAGGGAGATTTTGAGGTATACTAGAGGGATCTCCCAACGCGGAATTTGGAGTGCACGCAAAGCTTAAGGTAACACCGGATCCGTTTTTATTCGTACTGGTGGAACTCTCTGTGCACTTACCTGCTTGGTCTGCATCCTTCCCTCCCTGGATGCCCTCAGAAGTCGTCTCCTGAGGCGGCGGCGCTGGTGGTGGGGGTTGTGGTACGGGTCCTGGTGCCTGTGCTCCTGTATCACCCTTCGGTGCCTGTGGTTGCGGTGACCCGGCTCTTGCTGCCCCTGTTGCCTCCAGTCCCGCGGATCCTTGATTACTGTCCTCCTTCTTCGATGTGTTGTCCTCGGCTGCAATGAACAAGAGTAAGGGTAGATGATAAAAAAAAAAAATAGCACACAAGTGGTACAGAAAGAAGGGGGCCGGGACGGTGCGGTCAGGTAGCGGCCGGGTAGGGTCCGGCTCGATGCAGTGGGTCGATGCATTGGCCGAGGTGCACTGGGGTAGGGTCGTCGTGGATGGTAGCAGTACAACTTGTATGTGTCGACGTCATCTCCCGGCCGCGGCCGCCACCACTACCATCGCTACACGCTCATCGCCGATGCCGTCGTGGCCGCCGCACACCACGTCTACACTTCGTCGTCGCCACCGCTGCCGTCGTGGCCGCTGTGCTCAACGCCAACGAAGTCGTTTGCTGTGCTGTGCCCCCCACGTGTGCGTGTGTTGTGGCCGTCGCGTTTTGGTCGTCCATCCATATTCGTAGGGTGCGTATGCGATCCGTATGTTCGAATTCGTACGGGCCGTAATCATGCCGCCCCTGTGTGTATAGGGCTGCTTATTCGTATGCGCACTATGGATATTCTTACCAGCCGGTCCTGATGTTGCTGGCTGAGTATCTGCTGGGTGTGCAGGGGCGAGTATGGAGGTAGGTTTTTCCGCTGATGGGCCTTTTGGTGCTGCCGGTTCAGTCATGGGTCGAATAGTCTGAACATCCTTAACTGGTGAAGTGCTACTGTTCGCGCTCTCCACAACTTCTTGCTGTGCTCGTTGTAATATACTGTGCATCCCTGCTTTCAATGTGTTGAGTGCACTTGACTCCCCCTCTCTTAGTGCGCTCGCAGCGTCGTCCTGGCCGTCGGCATCTTTTCTGGTACTGCTCGCCGGCGCACTCTTTTTACAACTTTCAGTCATTTCCTCCCCTTTTATCTTGCTCATTAAATCGTCATTGGCGCGTAACCAGTTCTTAATGTGGTCACTCAGTGTCCATTGTCCTCTTCTTATATCGTCAGTCTCTCCCATTCTACAGTCTTCCGCGGCAATTAAGTCCTGCATTCCTCCGTTCCCCCTCATTTGATCCACCGAGTACCATGCATAATAAATACCCCACTTCCGTCCGCATGCTGACTCTGTTAATATGGTCCCAAACATGTTTACTATTGCACAGCGCATGTATTGCCTCATTTTCTTATTATTCTCTGTTTCACCCTCATCCTTAAGCGTACTTTGACTTCCCTTGCTCATTAATAAGATTGCTGTTGTCATTAATTTACATGTAATTCTGTCACCCACCGTCTGGTTTACGCGGGGTTGCAAGCTATCGTCATCTTCCCAATGGTGCCAACCATAATTATTACAGTTTGTACCCCATGCCTCCATAAGTGAGTCCATGTCTTCCATATGTTTAATAAACTCTCCGAGCATGTCCCCTATGTCCTTCTCTAGAGCTGCCTGAAATGTATAATATGCAAACGTACTCTGTAGCTGCGTTCATGTGCATTCATTCGCTCATCGCATTGACACATTCACATAGCACAACTCATCTCACGCCCTTTACTCTGTTCTAAATGTCCGCATTCAATGTTACCAGTACATATGCAGTAACACACTTCTACGCACATTTACACGTGGCACCAACATATATGAGCGCGTGTACTCCTATACACGGTCTGTTGTGTCGTTCATAATTAATTACCTGATATGCGTCATCATCGCCGTATAAGTCCCTATCCTTTACGCATTGTGCCAATATCTTCCCTAACGGTGGCGCCATTGTTCTGTTATTATAACAACATGTAAAAGATCGTTCCTTGTAGAATGCGTTTAGCGTTCTGCATATCTGGCACTATTGCATTACTAACAATGTCTACGTATCCAATGTACTGCTGTATATCCAGTACACAATAACATTGTACGGACAGGATTTCAAACATACACGTTAAAAGGGGAGATGTATGCCTTAATTCATATAACGTATACGTACATATGTACTCCTTATCCTTATATACAGAACGCGGAGCAGCACAACGAAAAATAATAAATACGAGTAAAAAGAACAACAAAAATAAGTTAGAAATAAATTATATTTAAAAAAAAAAAAGAAACAATTTCACGACACACATCTGACCTCTACAAATGCATAACAAGTTGCTGTACACAAAATAGATAAGACGCTTTGTGTCTCGTGCACACATGAACAATGTGTCCGACGCAAGGAATAAGAAAAAAGGGAAAAATGGAATAAAAAACAATAAACCAAAATAAAAAAAGAGCACAAAGAAAAGAAAAAATATAAAAAACACTACACACAATGTGTCATGAATACCCCCTCCCCCCTTTCTACACCCGTTCTCCACTAAACGCCTTTCACACACGTTGTCTCTGTGTGCGTACACCAAACCCCGTGTACACTAAACCGCAGTATAACAACAACATCAAATTCTTCTTCGGTCGTACAGTCGGTTGCCTCGTCCGCGTAAACATTGTGCGCGCGTGTAAGAAGGAGGAGATTGTCGCCGACCAAACGCGGCCGCGTAAACCGCATTGTAGCCGAGTGTACCCACGATTCGACGACGGATTGTCCGAGTGTAAGAACGGAGGAGGATTGTCTCTCCGAGCACACGTGGCCGGATACACGGGATTGTCGACGGAGTGGCCGAGTGAAGCGATTCGACGCAGTAGCCGAGTACGGATCCAGAGAGGGAGCAGAGAGCGCGGGTGCGGGGAGCGAAGGAACACACATATTATGTGGGAGGGCAGACAGCGGGAGAGGAGAAGGAACACACATATTATGTGGGGGCGCACGAACGACCGGAGCAAGGCCACAACGACGGAAGAAGAATTTGATGTTGTGACTATGTTGTTGTTCGTTTTAGGTGTACGCGCACAGAGAGACAGTGTGTGTGCCAGGCGTTTAGTGGAGAACGGTGTAGAAAGGCGGGAGCGGGCGTTATTCATGACGCGTTGTGTGTACGGTAGTGTAGTAGTACTTTTTTCTATTTTTTCCTGTCCTTTTTTTTTTTGTTCTTTTTTTTTTTTTTTCTATATATTTGTTTCTTTATTTTCTTGTTTTGTCCTGTTTCCCAATCTTGCATGAAACATACAGGGCCTCTACAGCGTTTAGTTCACGCATATGTTATATTCATGTGAACACAGCCACTACTGTGACGAGCCAAGGGCAGTTGTGGACACATGTAGGAACCATGAGGCAGTGCCATATGTGCAACAACACTTGAATACACAGTTACAGCAATAGAAGCAAAATGGCCGCGGCCTTAGGGAACCTATTGGTGGATTATATTCAGAAAAGGCGAATAAGGGCCGATGTGCAACAGGGAGATACTGGGAAGGGCAGTTTCAGCGTAAGTTAATTACACTAAGGGCAGCATGGGAGCGAACTGTAGATTTACATACATTTACAGTAGCGGAATATAGGCGTTGACGTGATCATGCAACACGCAGAATTATGTATACACCTACGTATTTTTTACGTGTTTGTTGTAGGAAATATTCTGGGGGGACGTTAAAACAGTATATGACGCGTTATTGGATGCAATGGAGGCACGCAGGGATGATATAGAGCCCTTGTGCTCATCTAGCGAGCTGCCTGAGCACATGTTTACACTCGGCACGGAGGCTTCATCCTTATGCGAGGACATCATGAAGGTACATTTTTTTATCCATGGTATTCGACCACACCACGGCACGCATTCGGCTGCAACTCAGCCTGAGGACCCGATACACCCATTCATGAGGTGCATGGTAGGATACGTAATTTTAGCCACACAATTTGCACCACGCTGTCAATTCAACACCTTGGTGCCCTATGCACGCGAGGCCGCACAGGGTATCATGCCCCTGGCCAACGTGGACACCAGTAATAGTGCATGCAACGGATTGGATTTCGATACACTACAAATAGGGCACAAATTGGTAGGAGCAACCATTAAGGCATGGATACACAATGACAGTACTCGGTGGCACGAAATCATGGCCGATTATGTGCACGACTCTTGTGCCAAGGACACATCAATTGCGGCAGAAACACGCAGCACGCAGGATACACACGCAGAGAAAGAGCCACAGGGTGCACAAGGGCCAATTAGTCTGCACGATTTAAACCAGTTGGCCGCTAGTAAAGATCAATTATCCAAGCACGACGCGACAACAGTGTTGAACCAGATACAGGGACTGCCTGATACGGATACTATCATGAACAAGTTGAAACACGCAATTGCAGCAGTGGAATCGGAGACAAACAAAACTGTGAGGCCAGGAGACAGCACACGATCCCCAGGCACACAGACAACATCATCATCATCCGGATCATCATCATCAACAGCAACATCACCGGGCAGGTCCGAAACGGGTAATACAGACACTGCACTTGGCAGCGCCAAACCAGCACATAATGCGGCGGCAACACCGCAGGCACCGACAGGTAAGGACCGATGGCAGAAAGCACCAATACGGCACGCACACCAACACGGCTCGACACGGCCGGCCCGCATGACCCGTACGCCTCGATACTTCCGCATATGGATGCCACCACAAACACAACGGCCACCACGCACACGCGGGGGAACAGCAGCACCCCTTCGTTGACGTCGAACGGCCAGGACGGCACCTCGCCCTTCGTTGAGCCGAGCGAGCATCGTTCAAGACGGCAGCGGTAGGGGCGACGAGGCACCGGAGACGAGATGACGGATGCGGCAGAAGGGACGAGATCACGGATCGGCGAGCAGGGACGGGGTCACGGCGACGAGGGCCGAGATGACGGCGACAACAAATAAAAGTTGTACTGCTACCATCCCATCTAGCCAAGTCGACCGAGTTCACCTCACCGTACGCTTGCGGTCGCCTGACCCAGTCCACCGAGTCCACCTCGACCCACTGCATCCAGCCGCACCCCCACCCTGCCGGATGCGTTCCCTTTGGATATCTATGTTCAATTACGTACTAATTTCTTCCCCAACATGCATAAACCCGGTAGCCCATACAATGTTGATGTAGGCATAATCCTCCCCTGCATGTATATTCCTTCAATTAGAGGTATTAGAATACTACGGTACCCATGGGAACATTTACGTTTCTACAATACACATCATTATATTCCATGCTCCACCGCGGGGCACGCGTACGACCTGATTATTTGTTGATGTAGTGCACAATGATATACACGCCCCCAGCCCGCTATATTATGCCGCAAGGAAGCATCAAAAGGGCCTTCCACAAAACTTCCTTTAAATCCGTAACAAAATGCTCACACGCCCAATTTTTTTTTTGTTGTATTTAGCACGCTGTATCTGTATGTTTCACCATACTACTGTTATTTGTGTACTGTTATATACATCTTAAATCATATTTTTCATTTACATTATATGATAACATGTTATAAACTAGGAATAATACAAGATACATCACGTGCACAGGAGAAAATACAAACTTAGAAAGTGTTTCATTTTAAACAGAACGACAAAACAGGAAGATTTGTCGGCAACAGGTAAGAATAGATCCTACATTCCCCCCTTTTTTTTGCCTACACGTATATATCAAACAAGGGGCAAATAGTCACACAATTTCATATAAAAATAGGTAAAAAAGTGAACATAGGAATAAAATAACAAGCCCGCAACTTCTGTATGTAAGAACAAAAGAAAAAACAAACGGGGTAAAACGGTGCATACATGCAAAAAAGGGAAAAAAAAAAAACAAAACTGTACGTCGCCTCATATAAGAGCCATATGTATAGGGACCAAAAGGGGAACAACGGAAAACAAAAGACTAAAAAAAAAGAAAAGACAGAAGAAGTATAATCCTATAAATTTGCGCATATATTAAAAAAAAAAAAGATAGAAACAAAAATAATTATAATAAAAAATATATGTTACAACAAACTAAAAAATAATTGAATAGTGCGCAAATTATTTGGGAAAAAAAAGAAAAAAAAGGAAAAAAAATGTAGTCACGCAAATCATACACATGTAACATAAAAAAGAAAAAAAGCAGAGCAATCGAATCATTTTTGCGCATCGTAAACAAGGAAAAAAAGACAAAAAAATAAGAAGGAATCATACATGTATATAGGAACACGAAACAATCGTATAATCCTGGAATGCACCAGCAAAAGAATAGCCACGTGGTGTCAACACAAATACATATAACAATAATCATATAATCCCCTTCTTTATAAGTAGAAAGAAATATAGTTCTTATGAATCTACTTTACTCTGAAACAAAAAGGAAGCAAAAAAAGGAACAGAAGGATGTTGCTTGTGAAACTCTCTGTACTTATGCTAGTCCTATACTATTCACAACTTGCTGACTGTGTATGATACCAACAACTATATTTTGGGGGAGTTACCATATTTATTGCAATAATATCTTAATGCCTTCATAACAACTATAAACCTGCATGTAATTTTTTTTTACTCTCTACATCCTTGTATATTACACCATAACAAACCCATGTATTCCCGTTGTTGTTTTTGTTAGGCGAGTACACTGGGCTCATCCTGTAGTAAGGGAAACAGCCAGTATGGTAACTGGAATGGACGTGTTAGCGCACCATTCACTGGTATAACTAATATGGAAACCCGAGTACGGTATACAATCTTCGATGATCTCACTTCAAGTTCATCTCAGAATACGTTGATGCATGACAAGTCTGAGAAATGTGATTCCATGTTTGAATTAACAAAGCCCCAATATACTAAAAATAAAGATCAAAAGAAGAATATGCGAACCAGGCTCGTACGATGTTTGAGGAAATTAGCACGTTTTAGGATGAAAAGGGACACATGGATAGCCTTGGCATTGATCAAGTTGGTTGGCTGTATATTCATTGTTGGCCTTGTTGGCGCAAGTATGGCTACGTCAAAATATATGTACGTCAAAGCTAAGGCTGATCATAAGGTTGATTGTACTATTAATTATATACCTGGCACTCCACTGCATGCAACTTTTCCAGTTTGTTCGGCTGTGGCACTGTCATCTACCCCTCAAACCGTCGGCAATCTCGTAGTAGTAGTAGTTCTTATGGTAATTGCTGTAATCATACAATTTACGTATGTTTACATCATATGGAGAATGAACCACCCGCGGAAAACGAAGAAATATATTAAATATAATTTGAGAATACCGGACTGTCTGAACAACGAAGCGAAAACATAGAAGATAAACGGACATTTAGAGTAACGCACTTATTCCTTCTTAGTGCGCGCTGTTCATGTTTTATTAGGCTTACATATATGTATTGGGGTTCCTTTTTTTATAATTTGTTGTATTATATTTCTCATAATGATCTATTTATATTATTGTATTTTATGTTACAATATATTTTGAATAATGATACTATTCGTTCTTTTTTTTAGTATAAATGGGGTGTGCTTATTTGTTTAGGTTCATGGTCAACTATTTGATGCATATTATGGGTAGAAGACCTATTTGAAGGAGCAGGGAAATAAATCCTTCTCTATTCTATATATGTGTATTCATACTGCTTTTACATTCTATATGTGCAATATGTGTGTCATTTCTACCTATCGTCACCTCGTACAACGAGTATTTTTATAGAACAGCACACTGTTCTTGTATTTTTTTTTACTCCATAAGAACATAATGTCACCGACGCTGCTTAGCGTAAAGCATCAAAAGAAGATGTTTAATGTATTGTTTTGGTGCATATAAAATACACAAAAAGGGGTTTGTCCGTGTTTTTATTACATTTTCAGTATCCCCTGTATGAACAATTGTTACATGCGAGAGGATGACATGAAATATGTGGTGCGCTCGAATGACATTCCTACAGATTATTGCAATTTCTGACATTTATATAGGATACAGTGGAAATATGTGCCAGCCTACAGAGTCTTGATTTTAAATGGAGCTCAATGGACAATGTACTGTTTGTGCTTAGGTTGTATAGAAAATGGCAACAATATGTAGACATGTGAGTGGCAAT